GGATGGCGAAGAGATTGAGATTTTTCACAGCTTCAGTTTGCTCGGCTCCACAGTCAATACTCTTGGCACCAGTAGCCAGGAAATAAAAAAACGTATTGCAATGGGAAAGTCTGCTGTTAGGGACCTCTCTAAAGTACTCAAGAGCAACAGTGTCTCTTTGAAGACGTACGTGTGCCTGATACAGGCCATGGTCTTTGCAATCACTTGCTATGCATCAGAGAGCTGAACAATGACTAGGGATGATAGAAGGAGAATTATTTCCTTTGAGCTGTGGTGTTAAAAATAGCATTGACTGCTCAGAAAATGAACAGGTTTGTCCTGGAGAGGGTGAAGCAAGGCTGCTCCTTGGAGGCAAGGATTCTGAAGCTTCAGCTGACAAATTTTGGACATGTTGCAAGGAGGGACCATTCCTTGGATAGGGACGTCATGCTTTGGAGTGTGGAGGGTTAGCGCAGGAGAGGAAGACCTTCGATGAGATAGATTGATTCAGTAACTGGTTTAATGGGGGTTGTTGTTGTTGTTATGTGCCGTCGAGTCGTTTGCGACTCATAGCGACCCTATGCACAACAGCCCTAAACCGTGCTCTATATCCTGTGCCAATCGCATTGCCTCTGACACACCCATCCCAATTACCCCAGTCACTGAATCAATCCACCTCATAGAGCGTTCAAACCAAAACTATGAACAATCTCAATCTCTTCACCATCCATTATGATGCTGTCAATCGGCCTAGTGGTGAGAATCTTTGTTTTCTTGATATTGAACCTCAAACCATACTGAAGACTGCAGTCCCTGACCTTCCACAGCAAGTGCTTCAGGTGCTCTTCAGTTGCACCAAGCAGGGTTGTGTTATATGCATAATGCAGATTGTTGCTGCTTCTTCCTCCAATACTGATATCACATTTCTCCTCATAGAGCCAAGCCTCCTGGATAATCTGTTCTGCATAAAGATTGAAAAGGGTATGGAGACAGGATGCAGCCCTTGAGTACACCCTTCCCAGTTTTGAACCATGCAGTGTTTCCCTGTTCTGTTCTGATGACTGCCTCCTGGTCCAAGTATAGGTTTCGCATTAGCACAATCAAGTGTTTTGGGATTCCCATTCTCCTCAGAGTCAGCCACAGTTTGTTATAATCCACACAGTCAAATGCCTTTGCGTAATCAATGAAACAAAGATAGACATTTTCTCGTACTCCTCGTTTTCAGACAAGATCTATCTAACATTAGCTACAATATTCCTAGTATGATGACCCCATCT